TCATGTGACCTTCAAATTACTCTTCAAGGTCAAACCTAAGGTACCATCTTATGTCCCCCTCGAAACCATACAACTTTTGTCTGAAACATTTTTTCATATCTCTTTTAGTTTTTTAAAAAATCGACTGTATAAATTAAAATGGCCCACCCTGTATAAATAAATGAACATGACAATTGTATTATTAGTATGAGATTCTAAAAATTGTTATTTATAATTAATACTAATAAAGACTCAAGGTAGAATCGTGATACATGTTTTTTAGATATATCAAACTTTTATATATAAAAATATATGTATACAATTTACACATACCAACAGAGCCTAATGGTGATATTGCCTTCCATGGAAGTCTACATGGGCTGCACTGATGCCGAGCAGAACGTAGACAGCCTTATGTTAATCTGTTGCGGAATACTTGGTGTAATGAAGACAGTATGGTTTCGCGTATATTCAAGAAATTTGACTAACAATTATAATTATGCTCTGGATGATTATCTGATGATTGAAAACGCAAAACAGCGTACCATTATGCGAAAACATGCTTCTACGGCAAGAATTCTCTGTTGTTTCATGCTGGGCTTCTCTTATTTTAGTTGTATAATATATGCATTAATTCCTCTTTTGGGTAATGATGTAAATGATATAAATAATCGGATAAATGTAACAAATGAAGATGTATTAGACTATCCAGTACCATCAAGATGTGCCTTGGAGTACTTCAATGCTCCAACAAGCATATATAGAATCTTGTGTTTTATCCAAGCTATAGCGCTTATTTTAACAAGCACTACTAATCACGGTAATATTTCTTGTTTGATAGTTTTATTTATTTTTTGCGTTACATAGTATTATTTAAAAAAATTTATACGTATTACGTAAAATTATATACGATATAATGCCACAGTGGAATCTTTTATTAATTTTTATAATGCTTAGTGCGTTTTTGTTTATTAATATTTGACAAAGAATCAAAGACATACCGCAAAAATGTAAAAATACATTTATAAAAATATAATGCATAAAAAGGATACTGAAAAAGGACACTTATACAAACATATAATCAAGATAAAAAATTATTGAATGCATACATTTTGATTTGTACATGTTTTAAATAACTGTACAAATAATTTTTAATTAGTAGAGATATCAATATTTTCTACATATTATTCTTATCTATTTTTTTAAATACCACATGTAAAATTAAATAAGTTCTACATATAATCTTGTAATATTATTACAATGTTACAACATTATATATCATTTCCTTTTTCATGAAGGTAACGACTCTATGTTTCTCAACGTTACGCTGCACATTTGTGGTCAAGTGGAAGTTTTGAAATCCAAGTTTATCGATTTTGATGTTACAAAACCTAAGGTTTATGAGCGTTTCACTGGGCTAATTAAAAGGCACAGTTACTTAATAAGAAGAGCAAGACAACTTGCCGATACAATTAGTTTCGTTTTACTAATTCAGTTATTTATTATCAGTGTACAATTATGTATAATGGGTAAATATATATCATTGATATTGCTATGTAAAACATAAAGTTGTATTATAAGGATTTAGGCAAGTAATTTTTCTTTAACAGGTTTTCAGTTTATTCTAGCATTAAAAGTCAACGACGTTGTTATGGCAGGAAAAAGTATAATGGTGCAGTGTACTTTTCTGCTACAATTAACGCTTTATAGTTTTATCGGGGACTACTTGAAATCTCAGATGGAAGAAATAGGACTTTCAATTTATCAAAACATTTGGTACAATCTTCCTACAAAATTATTAAAAAATTTAGTCTTTATCATTATGCAGACAGAATCTCCAGTTACCTTAAAGGCTGGAGATTTTATCGTGGTAAATCTGTCATCTTACGTGAGCATTATAAAAGCATCTCTTTCGTATCTATCTGTACTTCGTGTAATGGTAAAAGTGTGAAATACGACAAATAAAAAGTAACAGTTTTATACACTGTAAATATACAATTTAAACGAATGACGATTTGAATATACAAAAGAAAGAGTGTATTGAAATATGTTTCAATAAAATTGCTGGTTGTAAGTATCTGTGCCAAATTAATTTGTTACATGCATCATCAATAGTAGATACACGTATGAAAAATTATTATTATTATTATTAATGTATCGGGGTTAAAAAAAATTTTTTAACATACAGAATTCGTGTCACATGTTTATAACGCAATGTATAAAAAAAGAATTTAATAGAATACCATTCAAATAAAAATGTTAGTCATAATTATAACGCGCAATTGTTTGTTGCCAAATCAAATTTTTTAAATGTAATATTAAAAATACACGTGCACTAAAAACACAACTATTAATCTGTCTTCTTTGTTGAAACATTAAGATTTTAAACTCCTAATTGTCCTATATATTTTTTTAATAAAAAGTACGATTTGGCTTTTTTAAATGTTTATCTTTTTATACCATATCGTGTACCCCATGTTATCTCTAGGAACAATTTCCAACTCATAATTGTAGTAATACTTTTATGTTTCAACATGTTTAAACATATTAATTATATCTAAAATTGTATCTAGATTTCGTGATGCTTATAAGCTATGAATTATTTTTCTTCTATATATTTCAGTGTATACATATATTATTTAAAACATTAAATAATATTATGTATCGCGTAAATGTATCAATTCAACAAAAAAATTAATTACAAAAACAAAGAACTTAATTACGATTTCTACATCTGCTTATTTCAAATTAAATTTTAAATTAAGAAAAGGATTTCTAATACAAAGAATTACTTACTTATAACTTTCTGCTATGTTAATTAAATTTATCCTCGCAAATACATTTCTCTCGAACCAGCAGCGGTCTCTAGACACGAATTCCGAGACGACATAAAGGAAAAATTTATTTCCTCGGCAACGGGACTGTATAAGGGTGAGGACCCTACTTGAGAAACTGACATGTGCTTTATCATCAAGCTATTAGATCAATGACATGTATTAGAACTAGGTTTTTACGAATTATAACGAATAGTTATTTCCGGCCATGCGTAAGAGCTGCAAGTGCGCAAGGCTACAGAAACATTCAACGTCGGGGTGCATAGCGAAATGCGCGCCGATCAATAATGAATGAAACTATGAGCTGCGTTATCTCGTGCTTACCCTCGATGACTCCGTAACCCTTAACATGCGAGGATGGCGTCATGCGAAACATGGAACAAAGAAATGTCTCGTGAATTTTCTCTGTATAAGGGAGTAATGTGGCCGCTTGGTTCGTGGCCCTTGGATCGTAGTAGAAACTTTGCAAAATTACGTGCGCTGTTTTTTACAGTCACGCAGGTACATCTAAAAGTTTATCACCTTACAGTTAAGAACTACCGATAAATTATTGTTTCCGGTTAATCTAAATCGCAAAGTTATCCGACTGAAAATTATATTTTTAAAAGCACAACTATCTCACTTATTAATGTACAGTTTGCTCTAATATAAAGTGTTACTTTTTTTGGTAACTCTAACTTAACTTCGTTACTTTCTCTCCACCTGTAACTGTAACTTAACTCAGTTATATTTTTTCGATAACTAGTAACTAATTTAATAGTTACTTTATATATTTTTTTTAAACCTCCTCAGATCGCATTAGGCCTTGCATTTGCGCATAAACGCCTTTATCGACACTTTACCATTAAATGCAGATTTGATATTTTTATTTTCATTGCAAGAAAGTAACTGCAAAGTAATGATTCGTTAGTTTTGGAGTAACTGTAACGCATTACTTTTCACAATTGGTAAATTGTAACTGTAACTTACAGTTTTTAGCGAAAAAACTGTAGCTGTAACTAAATGTTTTTATAAAGTAACTTTTTAACTCTGCTTATTTTTTATGTCCGCAGGGTATTATGGTACTTTGTATAAGTGTGGATTTTGTTTACCACAACAATGCCCCTTTGTCAACGGTCATCGATCATTTCGTATTGACTTCATGCGGAATTTTGACCATTGTAAAGATAGCGCTGTTACGGTTGCATCACGACGACCTGCTGAAGAACCTAGGCAGCGCAGTGTGTGATTGGACGTATATCACAAAACAGGATCATCGGCAAGTCATGTTTCACTATACCAATCTGGGCAGATTTGTCTTCTTCTTTCAGATGGGTTCCTCGTATTTTGTCATCATGCCATTGGTAGTCGGACCACTCCTGTCCTCTGCGATGTTGCCTTCCTCACAGAACGTCACATTAACTGCAAAATCCCAGAGAGAGATGCGAGCTATGGAATTACCTCACGAGATGATCTGTCCGTTTGATGCTCAGCTCGTTTGCTACGGTATATATATTCTTCAAACTGTTCAGCTGATCACGACAGTCACGGGGAATGTTGGCAGCGACGTTTTTCTCTTTGGAGTTTGCATGCATCTCTGTGGTCAGCTGGAACTGCTCGGTCTAGAACTGTTGCGGTTCCACGAAGAGAAGAAGAACGGTTGTGGGAAACGAACTAAAATGGTCACACTGATCGAGAGACACTGTTTTCTTCTGGATCTAGCCAAAGACATCGTTAATACACTCGATATCATTTTGATCGCTCAACTGATTCTCCACGCTTCGCTGATATGTTTAATAGGTAATTAAAATTTAAGAGCAATCGTGTATTTCTTCCCTTGCAGTAATAATTTCTAATCTCGCACATTACGCTCGTCTTATGTCTAATCAGTCATTTAAAAAAGAATAATAAGATTAATTTAATTATAATATTACAATAAACAGATAGTTGAATATCGAGTATTTTTCAGGATTACAGCTCATTGTGTCATTGGCAAGCCGTGAGTTTATTTTTGTCACGAGAAGCATAAGTTCTTTTAATATATTAATGATACAGCTGTTTTTATACAGCTACATGGGAGAAACTTTGTCGTCAAAAACGCAAGCGATTTCTCGCGCGATTTATTTAAGTAAATGGTATGAAATGCCACCAAGCATTGTCCGAGATATATATTTTATAATAGTTCGTGCTAACGTGCCCGTTTGTATAAAAGTGGGTAAATTCTATAATATCGATCTCAACAGTTTCAAAAATGTTCTGAAATTGTCAGTTTCTTATTTTTCTGTATTACAAATTATGCTGGTTCAATAATGATTGTTAGAAACATAAATATATTTGATAAAAATTTATATTTTGCTTTTTACTTCTCACAAAGTAGAAAGTAGATAAGCGTAACATACCTTCTGTATCACTTTCGAGCGGAAAAATTCATAAAATTCGACTGACCGTCGACGCAGCGTTGCAATTGCGAAATAAAACGTTATGCACACGGAACGTAACATAGTGACTGAATTGTGCATACAAGTAAACGTCTTCTCTATGTAGTAAAATATAGGTATACGTTGTTCGACGTCCGCAACAACTTAGAAGAAATGGTCACGTGAATTCAACGACAATTTGGCGTAAAAGCATAATCTTCAGCACTTTCTGATAATGCGTTAAGAAAGTAGGGACGGGTTGATAAGCGGGTATACGTTTCGAACTGAATAAAAAATGCACAGTAATACCTGCGTTGTGTCCATGTACCGGACACATTACTGGTTATTGGCATCAGTTACAGTCATTACCTCGCCCCGATGGCAAGCGAACGATGGAAGAACGATACCGCGTACGCGATGACTCCCTTCAAGCTGTTAACGTGGCCCATCGGTATTTGGCCACTTCAAACTTATAACATCCATTCGCTAATACGATTCATCTTTGCCACTTGTTGCATGGTACGCATCTTAGTTCGATTTCGACGATTCTTGCCGTATGATTATTTGAAAACGTAGATAGAACTTTTACGTTGACATCACAACGTTTTGAAATAAAACTTCGTTGATACACTAAAAAAATATTTCGCTACCGTAGCTAGTCATAGTTTGCTAAAAATATTTTGCTGCCATATTCATAAATTTCTAAACCACAGCAAACGGTTTGCTGTCGCATCTAATACAATAGGCACAGTAGCAAAATATTTAGCTATTGCAACTGAAATTTAACTGCCACATGCAGTTAGCTACAGCAGCTACATTTTTCTTTCCGTGTGGTAATGACAGTACCAAGTGTTTAAATTTTGAAACGATGGGCACTCCATTATTTTGACGACGTAGATAGCGAGATGCCCTTTTTTCAGGAATAGCAACCTATTGATCGAGAATATTGTGATACACAACCGTAGGCTATGTGCAAATTGACTAACGAAGATACTCATTAGTTTGCTTAGAAAACTAATCGTAAAATTTTATTTAGAACCTATGGTTTATTCCTTATTCCTGTTGAGGGACAGCGTAATTGTTTCTGAGAATTTCTAGGGGTAGCATGTCGGAGATGCTATGTCATCTGTTCTGTGATTATTTACTATTATAAGTTATCTTCAGGTTCTTTCGATTAAAGTTATGTATTAAAGTTATGTAGCGTTCAATTTTACGTGCCTTTAAATGCGTCCAGATAATTCCTATATTTCTTCACTTTGCGTAGAGGACATGGAAGCATCATTTATTCCAGTTCTAAAGAATTTATTAAAGTTTAAAATTAAACTTCATTATTTTTGAAGATCCATCCATCTGGAATTGAGGCATATTTTTTCTAGACGCAAAAGCTGTTTGAATGAGAAAATATACCATTTACGCATATCAACAGAGCATATTAGTGGTCTTGCCTTCCATGGAGTTTCACATGGGCTGCACTAACGCGGAGCAGAAGATAGACGGTCTCATGTTGGCCTGTTGCGGCATACTCGGAGTGCTGAAGTCTATATGCTTTCGCATATACGCGAAAAACTTAACTGACAATTACGGTTCCGCCCTGAATGATTATCTGACGATTGAAAACACGGAGCACCGTGCCATTATGCGAAGACACTCTGTTATAGGAAGAATTGTATCTTGTTTCATGGTGCTCTTTTCTTACGTTAGCGTGACGATATATTCGCTAATTCCTCTTCTGGGTGAAGAACTGGCTGATGATCAAGATCACATTAAGATCATTAACGTAACAAATGAAGATGTATTAGATTACCCAATACCATCAGGATGCGCATTAGAATACTTGCATGTCCCAATAAGCATGTATAAATTTACCTGTCTATTGGAATTTATCGTGCTAGTACTTACATGTACTGCTAATCACGGTAATATTTATTTGTTGATTCGTATAATACTTTTACATATTTTTTATCGTATAGTATTTAAACCGTGCTAAAATTTTAAACATAAAATTATGTCAGATTCTTTTATTAACTCTATTAACGTAATTTATCTACTTATTGTTAAGTCTAAAGATAATTGCATGTATGTACATATACATATACAATATATGTATATACATGTAAGCTTAATGTATGTAGTAATATGTATGTAAAATATATATTGATAAAGGTGTAGTATGTAAAAGATGAGATTAAATACGTAATTTTGTAGATAAAAATAATGCAAGAAAGATTTAATACAGAGTTATCTAAGTTTTTATTACACTAAATTAAAGTCTGTACTATTATATTTCCTTTCTAAAGGTAATGATGCTTTGTTCCTCAATATTACAATACATATGTGTGGTCAAGTGCAAATTTTGAAGACCAATTTCATGGACCTTGCCTCAGATCCGCAAGTCTATGATCGTTTTAATACTCTAATTCAGAGACATAACTATCTGATGGAATTGGGCAAAAAACTGGATGAATCGATCAGTATAGTTTTGGTGACGCAGTTATTTATTAGCAGCATATTGTTATGTATAATGGGTGAATATTCTATCACTTTCATTATCGAGTTGTGCAAAATATGTAAATTATGCTATATATATAAAAGAATTTATATTAATAAATACATAAGTCATTTTTCAGGGTTTCAATTTATCTTAGCATTAAAAATGAACAATATTGTTGTAATGGGGAAAAGCTGCATGGTATTGTGTACCTTCTTAACACAATTATCCGTATATAGTTTCGTCGGGGATTACTTTAAAAACCAAATGGAAGAAGTTGGACTTTCCATTTATCAAAGTAACTGGTATAATCTTCCTGCGAAGTTGGCGAGAAATTTAATCTTCGCCATTATGCGGACACAATCTCCCGTCAAGCTGCAGGCTGGAAATTTCATCGTGGTAAACCTGGCCACTTATATGAGTATCCTGAAAACATCTCTTTCGTATCTCTCCGTACTACGTGTAACGATAGAAACATAAAATATAAATTCCGTGAGAGATAAAAAAATTTTATACAAATCTACGATTCGAAATTGTGTTCAGCGAAATAGAATTCTGTAGAAACAAAAGTTTACTATAATATTAATATTTTAATAAAATTGCTAATTACAATCATAATATAACTGTCTCGTGACAAAAATCTATTACTTCTTCTCATGCAGAAATTCTCAAAAATATATGTGTATTTGGTTAAGATATGCTGTCTTGCTTAAAAAGTAACAACCTTGACTCAGTATTATATTACATACTTTCCGCGAGAAAAATTATTTTATTTTTTCCTTTTATTCAATGTTCATACTTGTATACTTTTATAAACTCGTTTGCAATATTTTAAAAGAATTATTACATCATCATAATTGTATTACACTTTACTAACATAATCTAGACATACCTATTTTTGCTTTTTATTCCCATCTCAAATTGTTACGCAGCATCGCTACGATGTATTGTTTAGTTTTTAACATTCAACTGAAACCCAAAAGCCCGTGTCTTAACTACAAACACTTGAGTACGTCGACATTATTAATCAGAGTGAACAAAATTACACATCCGTTAATTATATTGCATACTCAAATTCTGAATCAATTTGTCCTTTATATTGCACAATGCACATTTTCTTCGTCATAACTGCTGATGCGATCTTTTTTTTATTGCGCACATGACTACTACATGGTGGGAGACGTTGTCACAGTGTATAGAAGACATTGTACTGTGTCTTTTCACGTTTATCTTACTACCATCCATCATACGCCGTATGAGCTACTAAAATATAAATCTAATGGGGATAATGTGCCTTATCTACGGTTATCCCATGTAATGTTTCGTGACAACGCAAATCAACATTGAATTTGCGACACGAAAATTGCACCTGTAACGACCGATCAGTTTCGAATGTCCAGTCATCCGTGCACTTTGTGCAACTACCATAATGTCGGACGATGTTTGGAACGATGATGATATCGCGTATGCGTTCTCCATTCACAGAACATTTATGGAAATACTTGGTATATGGCCGCTGCAAAAGAGGACGATATTCACGATAATCCAATGGATCTTGGTAACATTTGTGCAGGTACGTTGACAGTACGTGGAAAAGGGAAAGAAAAGAAATTGTAAAAACGCGTTACAACAAAGAAAAAAATAAGTATACTGAGACGATCCTCAATTTTCCAACCGAAAAGTTTCTGTGCTCAAGAATTATCAAGTATTTTCGTAAACAGTTTCGAACTCTTTAAGTGCGGATATATTTTACTCGTTATTGTACACGCATGTATCATATTTTCTAAGGCAACGGGATCATTGTTAGTTGTCACCATTCTTCTTCCTGTGTATGGAATTCACTGAAAATACTAGTGACGCTGGTGGAAGTATAGATGCTATAATATATTTTGCATCCACGTTGGCTTTAAATTTGAAATACTTCTGTCTTAATATTATCGGAAGAAAGCTGGCCAAAAATATTAATTCTGCTATCGTCGATTGGTCGACTGCAAAGAATGACAAGGAATCGTACAAGATCATGAAGAGACATGCGTCTAAATCCAGACTGTGTACTTTGTGCATGCTGTACTCAGCTTACATATGTGGTTCTCTTTATATCCTCACTGTCATATTTATAAACTTAAAAGGCTTTTTTTTACAAGATCAAATGATGAACGCGTCAAATGGTAATGTGATATTTCTACAATACATACTTGTTAAATTATTATTTAATAAGAAGTGTTTTTTCAATACATTCGCGAGAATATTAATAGTGATTATTATATAATATTAAAAATTCCTGAAAAATAAGAAAGTCCATATTCTCTGAATTTTCCAGTGTATTACATATACATTTGTTTTTCAAAAATGTTTTGTTATCATATTTAATTCTCTGTCCTAGACACTGAGAAGTGAAACTGAAAAGTATAGTATGCAATCGTACAAATAACTATTTCCTTCATAGTTTTTCCATTTTACAAAATATATTTGAACTATAATTACAATTATGTTTCTGTTAGTATCTTAAGGCTATTTTAACAAGGCAATATTTAAAAAATTTAACTCTACATTTATTACTTCGTTTTAACATTTATTGTTTTTACTTTTAACTATTTCATTTTATAATATCAAAATTAATTAAATAATTTAAATTATCTCGAAATTGTTCTTCAAACTTGTATTCTTTTTGCGTGCAGGTAATGTTAGTACGGATGATAGAGTGTTTATAATGCCTTGTGGTGAGTTTGGTAACAAACTTACCAGTTTGCAGTATACGATAATTATCATCTTTCAAATGTTTGAATTATTCTTGATATGTACAACGCAATCTGTTGCGGACAGCTTTTACATTAACGTTACTCTACACCTCAGTGGTCAACTTAAATTGCTTAAAAAAAAATTTGCAATGTTTGCAAGTAAGCCAGATACTCAGATAAATCATCGGAAGGAATTTAGTAACTTGGTTAACAGGCACTGCGAATTAATGAAGCTCAATCAGAATATTGAAGATACATTTCACTTGATTATATTATTCCAACTTGTTATAGTAACGCTTTTGCTCGCGCTGCTAGGTATCGTATAACAAATTTTTTGTATTAAATTTAATGACTCTTTTCATCAAGATATTTAAATACACCGTATTATATTGCAATCGTTTAATTGTATCGCATTATGTTAATTTTTAAATTTCTATCTTTGTTTTATAAAATGTTTTTTTTTCAGGATTACGTATAATATTTTGCTTGAAAAACGGCGAATATGTCGATTTAACGAAAACTGTTATGCTCTTGAACTACATGCTCTTGGAGTCACTGATATACTGCTACGGCGGTGATTTTATACAAAAAGGAAGTGAAGGTATATTCCATGCAATGTTCATGGCTTCCTGGTTTACGCTTCCTGCAACGTTGATGAAGGATTTTAACTTCGCAATGATGAGGTCAAGCTATCCGTTTCGTCTTACCGGCGGAAAATTTTTCTACGTCAATCGCGAAGCGATAGTGTACATTCTGAGGACGGCAGCTTCATACGTTTCAGTTTTGCGTATAGCACTGAGAGATTAATGAAAATGAACTAATCCAATCACAACTTGCAGAATATAAATATAAAAATTATGTAAAAATTGTTTATGCCATGTTAAATATATAAATACGATTAATTAAAATATTTTGAAACATACATTTCCTATAACAATATAATTCTTTGATTATCAGTAACATAAGAATAAAACTAATAAGAATATTCTTCAATGTCGCCAGCAGTAATTAACAATGTCAGCGTTTTCTTGACCATATCTGGTATTTTTAATAATACAGAAAATTTATTGCGAAAAATATTACCTCAACCAGGGTTTGAACCTGGACTTCCCTACACTCTAGGGCGTCTCATGTTCAGTGCCTCAGTGGTCGAATTGGTGAAATTTCCCATAAATGTTCTGTATTATTAAAAATGCCAGACATGGTAAAAAAACACTGACGTTGATAAGAATAAAACAATTTCGAATTTTAATTGCTACAACATTTTAAGTGAATACCAGAAATTCAGCGATGCTCCATATTGTCAGTGTCGAGCGATTACTTCTTCCGCAACCATTCGCATAGCTCTTTCTACTTTATCGCGTGTACTGTCAACAGATAGTTTCACTCTTTTTACTTCGTTCACTATATCGCCTCGAATAGATGATATAACGAAAATAAAGAAAGGAATATTTTGCTCGTGGAAAGAAACGCAGACCTACTATACAGAACATCATCGTTCAATTCGTAATTGATTGTAAGCATCTATACGCTGGCACAACAGCATTATACATTGAAAATGGTGTGCATTATCGGACATTTCAAAGATGCGCGGTAGACACAAATTTGTCATATCACTTATCTTACTACCCTAAAGGTTGGTCACTGCGGAAGGACCTTATGCGTATACACGATAGCAATTTTCTTCAGAGCAAAAGTAAGGCATCGACCCGAGCAACCCGTCACGCACGACTACAATTTTCCTTTTTGAGGTCGAAACCGGCCAATACATCGTTAAACATGAGGACGAATTGGAACAGTGGTATAGATTATGGCTTTTCTACGATAAAATCGATGATGTGGATACTTGGTCTGTGGCCTTTGCAGCGGGATAACGTAGTTTACACGATTCAATGGTTCATAATGTTCACAGCAGCGGTAAAATAACGTAACATAATGTAAGATAACATGCAATATAGAAATATAGCTGCTTGTAAGGGTAAGAATGAAAGAATCTGTAATTTCTTAGTAAAAGTTAACAAGGTAAAAAGCTGCACTTCATTTGCACATATACTTCTTATTACTTTTTCTGCATATATACGAACAGAGAGTATATTTTGTATAATTATATATATTTATACATAATTTTATATTTTTATCGGGCATTATCTGTAATTGAGATAATTTCTATAACATTGTATACGTAAAAGACATTTAAAAAATTTAAAACAGACTATTAAAGAACATTGTATACGTATACATGTATATTATTCAGAATAATTTAAACATAAAGGCAATTGACAATTAGAATTTTGATAAATAGTTTGTACGTAATTTCTCGATATTTACTGTTTTCGATGCAATCTCACATGAGAACCAATTTTATATTTGCTATCGTGCAGTCTCTCACAATGATCAACGTGCTGATAGAACCTTTCAAGACCTGTGATGCTGTCAGAGACGGTTTCGAAATTCTGCGTTTAACAGAAAGCAGCATACACGGATGGTTAAACATCATTTTCCCGCGAATTTACATGAAAAAGATCGCCGTTAATATCAATGCTGCGATCAATGACTGGTCGTCTACAGCTATAAAGAAAGAGTCGCGCGTAGTGATGATGGCGTACGCACGTACAGGACGTCTGATCGCGCTGACTCACTTGATTGTTGGGGCATTAGCAGGCATCTTATGGTACATATCCGTCTTCCTCAGCAATAAACAAGAGGTTGTATTAAACTTATGAAATAAAATCTAAATTTTAAATAAAATCATGTTTTGTTAATAAAGGGCATATTTAGCTTTATAAAAATTAATATGTTATGTGCATTTTACAGGCTGCAACTGTAGGTAACGACACTGTGACTACATGGAATTTTGTCCTTCCATCAACATGTTTGTACAAAGGGGTTTCATATTTCACGTATAAAATATTGTTTACGATGCAAATAATACAAGGAATTTTAATATTGATATCGGAATGTGCTTGCGACAGCTTGTTCTTTAGCATCACTATGCATATTTGTGGTCAGTTACAACTTCTCAAAATACAGTTTATGGAGATTAGCAAGAAATGCCGCGAAGAAAAGTGTCATGCGAATGTTTTGAAGCCATTCGTTAAAAGACATTGCCAACTGATAGTACTGGCCAGGAATATCGAAGATGCTTTTAGTATTAACATTTTACTACGCCTTTTAATAATTAGCGTAGTCATTGCAGCTTCAGGTAAATATATATTTAACTCAGTCTTTGTGATAAATTTGATATTGGTCTAACTCCGATTAAAAAAACATATATAAAACAAAATATATATTTTAATTTGTGTAAGGACGATAAAAATGATATAAAGATGGTTTTGCAATACATTTATACAGGGTGTTCCAAGAGAAAAGGTCAATATTCTGGGAGGTGATAGTATCGGTTATTTTAAGCAAATTTTGCTACTATTACCTCCCAGAATATTGACCTTTCCTGCTGGGATACCCTGTATAATTAGTTAAATTATTTCTAAGTATTGAATTATTTTTAAAATTCTTAATATAATTCAAAATAGGGAAGAATAAAATACCAATGTAAATAGTAAAAGATAATGAAATAACATTAAAAGTTATGAAACTTAAAGAAATATTGCAAGATGTGAAATACATTCAGTATAAAAATGTAAATTAACGCAACATATTTGAAGAATATGATTTTCAGGAATAGGAACTCTCCTGTCAATTAAGCAACAAGATTATAAGGAAATGATAAAAATGTTAATATCCATTCAATTTTATATGGTGCAGACCTTTTTGTATACATATGCCGGCGATATGTTGCAAAATCGAAGCGAGTCGATTGTTTACGCCATATACAGCTCCCCATGGCATGAAATGTCGTCCGTCATGGTGAAAGATCTGATATTCATTATGACGAGGATGAAGAACCCTCTTCGAATTAGCGCCGGAAAATTTTTCTATCTTACGCGAAACACTATGACAGATATCTTGAGAACCACCTTAACATATATATCGTTCTTACAAGTGACAATGAACAAAAAATTCCTTCAATAACTTTTGTGTTATAAAAAGCGACATATGTAGATAAGTAAAATAAAATATAAATTATATTTCAGTACTTTACGATCTACTTCTATTGGTCAACGTATATGTTTGTCACGTATATAAATTACTTATATTTATGTATCTTTTCTTTTACCGTTTAGGGACCGTTAATTTTTATAACCATTTCGTACGAATGTAAAACATAGTCTTCATTAATGTAAAGACAGTTTTCTACCAGATTGAAAATGCTGTCGTATTAAAAATCTACCACCTTGAACAATTCGAGAATCTATTTCTTATTTCTGTTTATGCGGATTAGTAAATAACGAGTTGTCAGATATTAAAATTGTGCACTCTTATAATATGAACGTAAATATGAAAAATTTTGCTAATTGGTGTTGATAAAAACGAATACATTACATTCAAAACTATGTTGTTTTTAAATTTTTCTTTATGAAAAATGTAGCTGCAGTCACACGAAGACGACGCATCGAAACAAAAATAAAACTTCCTCTCTTATCTTTTACTCTTCACTCTTTTCTGTTACCACAAAAAAGAACATTATATCAATTGTTTTAAAGAACTGTACTTCAGAAAATAACAGAATATACGGATAAGTATTAAAATTGTGCATTCTCAATAAAATATGAGTGCAAACGCGAATTTCGTCGATGATCGACCCGCATTATGGACAAAGGTTGACATTTGTGAGTGCAGTGTGTCTCTACTTGACTACCATAATGTTGTGGAATGACGATGCAGCGTACTCTATGACCCTCGTCAAACACTTAACTGTACCCATAGGTAGTTGGCCCTTGCAAGAATACAATAAGTTCGCTTTGTTGCGTCATACCTTGTCTAGTTTTGGGTTGGTACGTTTCCATTTTTCACATTTCTAAAGCAAACGTCGTGGAAAATTCTTATCTATTTGTGTTCTCGATAGATAAAGCTAGCTGATTGTAGATATTGTGAATTTGCTAATTGTAAGAATGGTCGGGCTAAAAAAGTACTGGCAAATTAGAAACAAAAAGTAAAATTAAAGAAATTTAAACAGGCCATTCTTAACTTCTTTGTAGAGCGTGGTGGTGATCGTACAGTTTCTCGAACTCTATTACAACTGTACCAGCGCACAAGCAAATCTTGATGCACTCACACTTTTCGCATGTGGTATTCTCGCTCTAACAAAGATAACATGGTTTCGTATATACGCTGATAATCTGATTTGCAACTACTCTTCTGCCATGAATGATTATCTTAAGATCGACACTGAGGAGAAGCGCATCATCATGCGAGAGCACGCCTTTTGGGGAAGGATAATCTGTATTATCGCCTTGTTGATCTCTTACGGTGATTCTGTGATCTTCATCGTGGGACACGCACAACTAAGTAGCGAGGAGGCTAAAGCTAATATATCTATCCTAGGCTACCAAGCGGGATATGCTATTCCGTCGACATGTACCTTGGCGCACTTTCACATTTCGACGGGCTTATATTTGGTGATTTTCATGCTGGAATTTATCTATCTGGTAATCATGTGCATCAGCAATCACGGTAAGCCGTTAGTACCCGTATAATTGTTTTCATAAAATATTAATTTGTTTTGTATATAAAATAAATTACTAATGTTTTCTAGTAAATATCCGTTAATAAGTTTTTAGTTAATATAATTGTATTTTGAATGCAAATTTATTTAATTGTCAGATGTGATAAAGCAAACTTTTACGTCGATTTTATTTTAATAAAATATTTAGTTTTGCAAATATTAAATCCAGATTCCATTAATATATTTCTAAGATATTAATACGTATTTTACGTACGAGAATTCTTTAATGTATGCTCTCAATCACTGTTTATAGGTAGTGATTCTGTATTTCTTCATATTACATTACACGTGTGCGGCCAACTGAAAATTCTAAAGGCAAATTTTATGAACTTTGACAATACAAGTCCGAAAGTTTATGAACGTTTTAACGAGCTGATTTTGAGACACGATCATTTGATAAGAATGGCCAGAAAGCTCGCTGAGATAATTAGTTTTGTGTTGATGGTGCAACTCTTTATCAGCAGTATGCTTATCATTATAGTAGGTGAATACAGATTAATATTTGACATGGCGTATTACTAAAAAATATAAAATGCTATAAAACATTACATTAGTAGAGTAAAATCTTTGCAGGATTCCAGTTTATCATTGCCCTAACAACCAGCGATTTTGGCATGATGTCAAAAAGTTTCTTGGTACTAAGCGCTTTTCTGGTTCAGTTAACGCTATATAGTGTCGTCGGAGATTATTTAAAGACGCAGATGGAAGAAGTCGCCTTGTCTGTCTATCAAAGTGTTTGGTATGATTTTCCTGCAAAAGTAACAAGAAATATAATATTTATCATGATGTGGACCCAGCTTCCGATTAAACTGCAAGCTGGGAACTTTGTTGTGGTGGACTTGGGAACTTATATGAGCATCTTAAAAACCTCTCTATCATATTTATCCGTTTTACGAGTAATGGTGGAAACGTAAAACATCAGAAGTATCTACAGTAGAGTCCCGATTATCCGAGTCTCGGTCATTCGAATTCCGGTTTATCCAAAGTGATTTTTTATTTAACTTCTTTCCATTGTCGAAAATAAAAGTTAAAATACCCAAAATTTTCTTATTATCAATCCTAAGAAAAATATATACGTTTTAATAATATCTTTACACAAAGAAGATCATGAAAATGGACTTATTGTATTTTTAAATTAGAGCTGAAAGTTAGTTGCACATTTCCGGTTGATTTTGTTGTCTTGGCCCACTGTTCCCCTTTTGCCGCGCGTAACAAATACATTGTTTTTACCACGAGTAATATTTTGTACGTCTTTTAATTTTTTCTTTTCGGTTTACCGCGTTTTTGATTATCCAAGACGGTCTACGTTAAGTCGGATAGTCGGAAATCTACTGTAATATACAGTTTTAATATACTTAGGAAACTTATAATGTTGCTCCTGCATGAGAAAAGTGATACGAATAAGAGTTAGCCATTTTACAAGATAATGTTTTAAGCTGCTTTTAGCTTTTCCTTTTCTCACTTTAATAATTTTTTCTATTCTATAAAATATATTCTTACAAATCCTTCTCTTTATCTCACTATTTTTGAATAAATCTTTGCGTTGTTCCTTCGTTTTACAAAATTTTTATAATTACGCTTATAATATTTTTTTTATAAAAATGTATACGTTCCCTTGTTGGTAAATTGTGAAAGGACAAAAATTATTTTTTACTTGTATCACTTTCCTGCAGGAGCGATATGAAGAGTAGAATTTTCGTAAAAGTGCAAATTATAATTATATTCTTCTGAAATGAAATTAACAATACCACAGCAAAATATGAAATGTATTTGAACAATTTTAGTGGCACTACCAACACTCGTGTTGTCTAAGAACTGATGCACAAAATTTAAATTAATTGTACGTGTTTTTGATACAAAGACAGTACCGAAATAAAAAGTTGTAGCACGATCAATGACTGATGATGCACTGGAAGAAAAAGACGACACACTCTCTCCCTCTACCCGACCTTTGCTCCACTCCATTTCCGCATAAAAAAATTGTCTCCCTTTGTTTTTAAAATAACTGCATTTTGGAAAATAACAAGGTGCTCCAGTAAACGTTAAAATTGCGCAATTTCAATAAAATATTAATGTGAAAGCGAACGTCGCCGATAGTTGACTCATATGGTGGACAAAGGTCGATATTATTGAGTACTGTGCAACGTGCACGTCTACTTAACTGCAATAATGTCATGGAATGACGATTTGGCATACGCTTTTACTCCCTGTAAATTCTTTACTCTGCCAATAGGCGTTTGGCCATTACAAAAATATGATACATTTTCTTTCTTTCGTTCTATCGTGAGTTTCTCCAGTTTGGTACGTCTTTAATCTTCATCTTACTCGCAACAAAATTATGCTTCTGCTTGTACTATCGACATATCAAGATAGTTTAAATCATGTACCTACTTAGTGCAGAATGAACACAATGAAAATAAAAAATAGGAATAAAACTTTATAATCAACTGTCGATCTTTCTTGTCTGTGTAGACTGTGATGATGATCATAATGTTCACCGAAATCGTTTTCGGTAGCGGCGAAGCGTATGTAAAACTCGACGGCCTTATGCTAATGTTCTGCAACATTCTCTCTGTACTAAAGATATTGTTCTTCCGCTTATACGCCGGCAATCTGATTCGCAACTTCACATCTGCTGTGAACGATTATCTCGCGATCGACAACGAGGAGAAGCGCACGATCATGCGACGGCATGCATTTCTGGGAAGGCTTGCTTGCTTTAGTATATCTTATTTTTCGCTTATGCGGCTTCGACAATTTTCATGCTGGCGCCTATGATAGCAGGAGATAATAACGCTCAAGTTAATATATCCATAAAAAACAAAGCAGCGGAATTACCCATGCCATTAACTTGGATCTTAGGGGACACTGATATCTCCACGAATGTATACTTTGTGATCACTACGGTAGAATATATTCTATTGGTGACAAATAGCAACAGCAATTGTGGTAATAAGCTAATTGCTAATAACGAAGAAACTTGTACATTAATATACTTTAAACGTTATAAGTTTTAAGAACATTCATTAATAAGTTCCCTAATTTTTAGACTACTACTGTCAGCAATTTTATTAACTGCTAACATACAAATTAAACTTAATGTTTTTTAATATTTTTTTATCGATATTACATATTAAATTTTTATTGGTTTTTAATATATTTTTTAAATATATATGTTATAATTACCTCACAATTGCTATTAGATAACATTATGTTTTCTTTTGCTATCATTTTGGTAACAGATATTAACTAATTATCTTTTTATTAATATTAACGCTTTTAATGTACCTAAATTATTTTAATATAAGATTAAAATTTACTTATAAAGGAAATGATTCACTTTTCCTCGCGATCACTCTTCACGTTTGTGGACAACTGGAGCTCCTAAAAATTGAATTTGCTAATTATGGCGTGAAAAGCAAAAATCTAAATGAAGATTTTTCAATATTGACATCAAGACATCGTTATCTAATAGAGAATACGGAACTTTTGATAGATGTAATAAGTATCGTATTGCTCATGCAAATGTTGTTCAGTTGCCTTCTTGTCTGCTTAATCGGTAAGTAAATATCAGTTAAATTAAAAAATTTTTCGATATTGATACAAATATAGCTAGAATATTATATCTTAAATTATTATACATAGGATAGCAAATTTATATAGTAATGTAAAATTAAATAATAGAAACGAAGCTATAATTTTATCAAATGTACGCGGGATTTTTTCTCGTCCTGTTCCGTATAATATAATAAAATTATCCAAATTATGCCTGTGTACAGGGCGAATTTTATTTCGTGAACCAGTCTCTTACTATGAGAGATGGATTGCCGACCAAAACTGTAGCTACCTCTGGAAAAATGGAAAAAAATCTCGTTATACATATTTCAATCATGTAATATCTAATTCTATCTCTCAAAATACAATTAGATATTACACGATTGAAACATATATAACTAGATTTTTCAATTTTTTTTTCCAGGTTGGCTACAGTTTCGGTCGCTAATCTATATCTCATGGTAAAAGACTCTGTGGTTCATGGAATAAAACTCACCCTGTATATCATAGAGTTGACTTGTGCATATAGTGTAATGGAAGAAATCGCTCGCTCAATTTACAACTGCAATTGGTACAATTTCTCATCAAAATTAACAAGGAATGTTTTGTTTGTTATCATGCGGTCACAGCAACCTGTTCAATTGCTAGCTGGCAAATTTTTCGTCGTAAACATCGAGACTTATATGACGATATTAAAAAGCTCTCTTTCATACTTATCCGTTTTGCGAGTAATGGTGGACGCGTAGAGGTGCAGAGAATTCTTGAGAAAACAAGGTAACACTGTACACACACCAGGCAATATTTTATTTTGTAAAAAGAATTTCATGAAATATATGGAATTAAATAAGCTACTTTATATTACTTTAAATAAAGTTGCTTTGCTTATTATATCAATAAACATATTGTGTAATCACGTCGACGTGACTTTAAAAAATGTTGCAGTAATGCATTGTTTGCGAGTGCAAAAATGTAATTGTTGCAAACAATTTAATAAGAGTCGAGTAGAACTTGGTATCTTTTCTTAAAAGATATAGTTACATATAAGATACTATCTGTACTTATATTTTTCTCCGAAAAAATAATTTAGTGCATCTTGTATCTATACAGAGTATTCATATGAACATTTGTGCTTAAAATGACCGGAACTATCACCTCCCAGAGTATTGACTTTCCTCCTGGAACACCCTCTATGTAAATCGAAGGAATTCAAGAAATATAACTTGTGTCTGTATTTCTTTACTGCATCTATTGAAAATTTATCCTGTATCTGTATCTGTGATGAAAACAGTCAAGATACCAAACTCTGGTGTCGAGTAAGAAAAATATGAATGCTATGCTACTAACTTTGGCAAAAAGATGAAATAAAATGTATTGCAACATGATCAATGACAAATGATAACTGAAGACTGTGCCTCGAAAGAAAAATGAAATATCCACTTCCTCATTTGGTCTTTGCTATATCCTACTTCCATAGAAATTGTTCCTTTCAGTTTGTGTATCAAATAACTGTATTTTAGAAAATAACTAGGTACACTAGCAAATGTTAAATTTACGTAATAAATGTTAAATTGTGCACCTTCAATAAAATATGAAAGCAAACCGACGACCAATGACCGATGCGGCGCGTATTATAGACAAAGACCAACATTATTGAGTATCGTGCGACGCATAGCTCTACATGACTGCGATAATGTCATGGAATGCCGATGTGGCATACGCTTTTACTCCCTACAAAATCTTAACTCTGCCACTGGGTATTTGGCCCTTGCAAGAATATAATACGTTTGCTTTAGTCCGTTCGATTGTGTGCGGCATCAGCTTGGTATGTTCTCAATTTAAATGTAGCTATAAAATTTCTCTGTCGCTTCTTTTCGACATATCAACTTCGACAGTTCAAGTGAGATGTTCAGTACAGTAAAAAACGAAAAAACAATGACAAAACTTTATAATAAGCAGCCCTTCCTGTCTGTGTAGACCGTGATGATGATCTTGGTGTTCCTCGAAATCAATTTCGGTATTGGTGATGCATACATAAAACTCGATAATCTTGAAGTTATATTCTGTAACATTCTTGCTATACTAAAAATAATGTCCTTCCGCATATACGCCAATAATTTGATCCGCAATTTCTCTTCTGCTGTGAACGATTATCTTACGATTGACACCGAGGAGAAGCGCACGATCATGCGGCGACACGCTTACATGGGAAGAATTATTTGCTATAGTATCTTATTTTTGGCTTATTTGGCATCAACAATTTTCATGCTGATGCCTATGATAATAGACGATGAGAAAATCCAAGTTAATGTATCCATCCAGAATCAAGTGGCGGGATTACCGGTGCCCTTAACATTTTTAGGAGACGTCCAAATGTCTACAAGTTTATACGTGTTGATTTCTACGGTGCAATATATCGTACTGATGCTCACCAGCACCAGCAATTGTGGTAATAAGCTAATCGTTTGTTTTAATGCATGTCGCAACCATCTGACAATTACAGTGCGACGTGATTTTGATTTCTTTTACGTCACATCTCTTACAACAGAGCTAAAATTTTCGATATAAAAACTTTATATTAATCTAAAATTATAATCTGTTAATAAAGGTAACGATTCACTTTTCCTCGCAATCACTCTTCACGTTTGTGGTCAAATGGAACTCCTAAAAGTCGAATTTACTAACTACGGCGTGAAAAGTAAAATTGAAGATTTTTCGATATTGGCATCAAGACACTGTTATTTAATAGAGAATGCAGAACTTTTGATAAATGTAATAAGTTTTGTTATGCTGGTGCAAACGCTATTTAGTTGCCTTATTATTAGTTTAATCGGTAAGTATCTTTTGAATTTAGTACTTTATGATACGAGCATTATACCATTCAAATCTTGTAAATTTTTCCCCGCAGAAAAAATTACAAAGATAAAATTTTATCAAATATCCTCATATTTCCTAAGTCTATCTTGTAGTATCTTAACAATAAAACAAAATTATCGAATGAAGCTCATAAAATTGTTGTACCAATAATGCTTTAGAGATTTGTGCATGCAGTGCATGTGTAATTCTGTTTTTCAGGTTTCCAGTTTATCTTGGCACTAAAAACGCATGATGTAGTGATGATAACTAAATCTATAACAATGTTGAGTGCTTTAATGTTACAGTTGTTCTTTTATAGTTTCGTAGGCGATTATCTCAAGTGTCAAATGGAAGACATTGCTCATTCGATTTACAGCTGCATTTGGTACGACTTTCCACTAAAATTAATGAGGAACGTTTTGTTCGTCATCATGCGATCGCAGCAACCCGTTCAGCTGCTAGCTGGTAGATTTTTCGTCGTAAACATCAAGTCTTATATGACCATATTAAAAAGCTCCCTTTCGTACTTGTCTGTTTTACGGGTGATGGTGGACGCGTAAAGTACAGGTAACTGTTGAGGGAAAAGCTCGAAAGGGCAACATCGTACACATGTAGACAATATTATTTTAATAAATAAAATTATTACAAAGCTTTATGGCGGGATATGCCTTGAACTGAATAATCAGATTTTAATAAATAAAATTATATTTTTTGTATTACGTTAGTAAGCGTATATGTACACGCACCGGCGGAAATGTCGTCAGCGTACGCGTGACTCGCACACAACGCTCGGATCTATCCACACGCTTCCGCCTGGACTGCGTTCAGAAACGTCACCCGAGTGCCCCAGTGTTTAACCCTTGTTTAACATACGGTGAGTAACAATGATAAAGTGATACACTGGGGCGCTCGGGTGACGTTTCTGAACGCAGCCCAGGCGGGAGTGTGTGAGAGACCTGAGCGTTGTGTGCGAGTCACACGGCCACAGACGGTATTTCTGTCTGTGCGTGTGCATCACATCTAACATATCGCTTCAAGAAATGTTGCTGCTATATGTGTTTCACGACTGCGAAAATGCGATCGTTGGATACAATTTGAAAACTGTCTAGTAGGCAAAAAATTAGCAATATATCAGCTTGCCTATAGATTCGAGTAGAATATAGGCCAGATTGTTATCAATTGCATTTACATTAAACTCTCTTACCAGCAGATATTGCCAATATAGCTGACAGATAAACATTTTGGCATTTTATGTAAAATGTATTTGTATAATTTTGGTGACACTGACACTATTCATCTTTAAGAAACTCTCTTTGATGTACTAAATTTTATATTAATTACACGTGCCTTTGATAAAAAGTGGGTGTCAAAATAGAGATATTGCAATGACACATGATCAATGACGAATGATAACTGTAGACGAGACATCAACAGGAAGTGAAACACCCACTCTCCCATTTGGTCCACACTGTATTCTACTTCCATATAAAAAATTGGTCCTTTCAGTTTTTAAAATTACTGTGTTTTGGAAAATAACAAAGTACATTAGCAAATGCTAAATTTATGGAGTAACTGTTAAATTGCGCGACTTGAATGAAATATGAATGTGAGAGCGAGCCATCGTCGATGATCGACTCGTATTACGGGCAAAGATATCATTGAGTATCGTGGAAGGTACAGCTCTATATGACTCCGATAATGTCATGGAATGCCGATGTAGCATACGCTTTTACTCTGAACAAGCTTTTAACTTTACCACTAGGCATTTGGCCCTTACAAAAATATAATACATTTTCTTTAGTCCGCACTGTCGTGTGCGGCATCAGTGTGGTACGTTCTCCATTTACATATTTCGTATCACAATAAAATTTCTCTGCCACTTATCTATTCAACATGTCAAGTTCGACAGATGAGTGCGCCGTTCAGCGTGAATAAAGTGCAAACAAAAAAAAACAACACTAAAGCTTAATAATAAACAGTCCTTCCTGTCTGTGTAGACCACGATGATGATCATGTTGTTCCTCGAAATCAATTTCGGTAGTGGTGATGCGTACTTAAAACTTGACGCTCTTATGGTCATATCCTGCAACATACTCGCTGCGATAAAATTATTGTCATTCCGCTTATATGCCGATAATCTGACTCGTACTTATTCATCTGCTGAGAACGATTATCTCGCGATCGACACCGAGGAGAAGCGCACGATCATGCGGCGGCATGCGTTCATGGGAAGGATGATTGGATATAGTACATTATTTTTCGCTTATTTGGCTTCAACAATTTTCATGCTGATGCCTATGATAACGGACGATGAGAAAATCCAAGTTAATGTATCTATCCAGAATCAAGTGGCGGGATTACCGGTGCCCTTAACATTTTTAGGGGACGTCCAAATGTCTACAAGTTTATACGTGTTGATCTCTGTGGTGCAATATATTGTACTGATGCTCACTTGCACCAGCAATTGTGGTAATAAGCTAATTGTCAAGATAAAAGAGATTTACTTAAACCATAAAATATTAATTTTTATTAATATTTATTTTTAATTTACAGTTTTATTAAGTATCGGCAATATTATTCAGTTTTATAAAGTAAACTTAGTGTATCGTTAAAATATTTATTTTTACGAGTATTAAATTTTTATAAGTTTTCTAAATTCTTGTACATTTAGCTATCTTTAACAATGTAATAAGACTTTGATTTCTTTTATATCACTTTTGCCGCAGATAATATTTTTATTATTATTAAAACTTTCTCCATAAATTACTTAAATGCAATATTGAAATGTATTTATAAAGGCAATGATACACTTTTCCTGGGAATTACTCTTCATATTTGTGGGCAAATGGAAATCGTAAAAATCGAATTTGTTAATTTTGGCGTTAAAAGCAAAAACATTGGCGAAGATTTTCAATCATTGGCATCAAGACATTGTTATCTAATGGAGCATGCGGAACTTTTGGTAGATGTAATAAGTTTCGTATTGATCGTGCAAATGCTGGTCAGTTGTGTTATTATAAGTATGGTTGGTAAATATCTCTTGTGAATTCAGTATTTCTCCAATAATATGGTAAAATATAATATAATACTATTATAGTATTATTATATCGTTAGATATATATATCAATCTTTCTTGCAGAAAAATTACAAGTATAGTTTTATCAAATAACCATATATTTTCTAGGCTATCAAAATGTCTTAATGAATGATAAAATTATACAATAAAACTGTTCTCGTGCTAATAAATATCGTAAAGTTAACTTGTGCATACAGTGTAATTGTGTGATTTTAGGTTTCCAACTTATTTTAGCATTGGAAGCACACAACGCAGTGATAATAACTAAAACGATAACAGTGTTGAGTGCTCTACTGTTACAAATGTTCTTCTATAGTTCCGTGGGCGATTATCTGAAGTGTCAAATGGAAGAAGTCGCGGACGCGATCTACACCTGCAATTGGTACAACTTCCCATTGAAATTAATGAGGAATGTTTTGTTCGTCATCATGCGATCGCAACAACCTGTTCAGCTGCTAGCTGGTAGATTTATCGCCGTAAACATCAAGACTTACATGAACATAATAAAAAGCTCTCTCTCGTACTTATCCGTCCTACGGGTGATGGTGGACACGTAAGGCGCAAGTAACTGTTGAGAGCAAATTTCGAAAAGAAAACACCGTACACATGTAGGTAATATTTTATAAAATTATCGCAAATAATGTGATACAGGATCTTGAATGGAATAGTCAAATAAATTGAATTTGTTATTACATCTATAATTATATTGTGCATTACTCTAAAATACCATTTTACGGAATTCTGCTATGACGAGCGATTCACTATTGCAGCAATAATAACGCATATAATTTAATGACTGTCCAACGAAATATTATCAATAC